TTTGGGTTCTAGGCCAGAAACTTAAAATTGCCATAACTTGGTTCAAAAATGACATTTTTGAAATCTAAAAACACAAAAGTAAGTAAAATAGTTAGCTTGTCATTTTGATATACAACATGGCCTGGAAATCCAAAATTTGGTTTTCTAGGCCACCAACTTAAAATACTCCTAACTTGGCTCAATATTGATATTTTTGAAATCTGAAAACTGCTATGAACTTAGAATAGCTAGCCTATCATTTTAATAGACAGCATGGCCTAGAAATCCAAAACTTGGGTTTTTTGGTTTTCTAGGCCACCAACTTAAATTGTTCATAACTTGGCTTAAAATCGATATTTTAAAAAAATTCAAACTGGAATCAATTTGTCTAAAAGTGTAAAATTTATTTGTTACAACTCTGATTGAAATCAAAAAAGTTCAATGAATCAAAAATGGCATGGAAATTCTGGGTTCCCGGATTTCTAGGCCAACAAACTTCAAATGGGTGTAACCTGGCTGAAAATCAATGTTTCCAATTTCTAAAACTTGAAGTTTATAGAAGAAAATCAGAGATTTTCTTCAATATCAAAGAAGACATACCTTCGCATTCTTTCCAGCTAACTTAATAGCCGGTGGCAAGTTGGCCGTTTGCACTCTTTTCTTAATATCGCCAATTGACGACTTCAGCTTTTCGACATCTCTCAGCACGCCCTCTACATTCTCCCTAGATGGCGTATAAATCACAGCCATCCGAATCCCATTGGCTCTTCTGACAACGTCGCGTGCCAACGCTTCCAGCGAATCAATGTCGTTCCAGAAGGCGTCACACGATTCGCGTGACGTGGCGACCCATTTATGAGCATCTGAGAGCTCATCACGGACCATAGCCACACGTTTTGCAGTCTCTGAGAAGTTACGTCGGAGATCATGATGAGCGTCTCCCTTGAGCTGTGGGATGATCATATTTTTGGCCATCTCCAATTGCACCATGTCGGTTTTTCTGAAATTTTAAGTTGTTTCGGGGATTCGTTCCCTAATAAAGCCTAGAAATTTTCAGAATTTTATGAACCTAGAATACCCAAAAAGTTGAGCTTGTATTCTCAGACAAAATGCACTTTTCAGATCCCAAAAATATCACTTTTGAGGAGAGTTATGGCCGTTCAAAGGTTGGTGGCCTAGAAAACCAAAAGTTAGGCCACCAATTTAGATTTCTAGATCATTTTATATATCAAAATGACAGGCTACTCTTGAGAAATCCATTGCATTTTTCAAATTTTAAAAATGTCAATTTTGAGCCAAGTTATGGCCATTTGAAGTTTGGTGGCCTAGAAACCCAAAACTAGATCATCATGCTCCAAACTTCAAATTATAATAACTAGCTTGAAAATCAATATTTTTCAAATCTGAAAAATGGTATGGACTCAATGTAACAAACCTGATAAATTGACATACAATATGGCCGAGCTTTTAAAAAAATTGGGTTTCTAGTCCATGGCCTAGAAAACCAAATTTGGTGTTCCAGGCCACGATACATATCAAAATGACAGGCTACTCTTGTCAAATCCATTCCATTTTTCAAACTTCAAGAATGTCCATTTTGAGCCAAGTTATGAGCATTTGAAGTTTGGTGGCCTAGAAATCCAAAACTAGACCAACTAGGTCTAAAATGCTTATAACTAGCTTGAAACTTGACATTTTTCAAATATGAATAATGTTGGCAACACTGTAAAACACGCATGACAGAATGATATACACCATGACCTAGTTTTCCGAAAGCTTGGGTTTCTAGTCCAGCAAAAACTTAAAATTCGAAAACCCGAATCTGAATTTCTAGGCCAAGTTGTATATCAAAATGACAGGCTACTTTTGCCAAGTCCATCTTTCTTTTCAGCTTTGAAAAATATCAAGTTTGAGCCAAGTTATCTGCATTTGAAGTTTGATGGCCTAGAAAACCAAAATTAGGCCCCCTTCATAACTTTCTTCAAAGTCGACGTTTTTCAAATTTAAAAACTGACATAGACTCGGTAAGAGAGGCCTTACAAAATCGTATACGATATGACCTAGTTTTCCAAATATTTGGATTTCTAGGCCATTAACTTCTAATCACTGTAACTAGGTTCAAAGTAGAGGTTTTTGAGGTGGCTAAAATGGAATAGAATTGACAGAAAACAAAGGATCAACAATACATTGGTTCAAAAAAGTTGGTGGCCTAAAAATGCAGAAAACTTGGGTTTCTAGGCCAGCGACTTCGAACTAGCTAAAATAGCTAAAAACAAGCGTAAGTTAGCTCAAAATCGATATTTTAGAGAAATTCAAAATGGACTCACTTCTCCTTCAACTCCCTAGTGAATTGAGCAAGATTTCCATCCAATTTCTCGAGACCATCAGTGTCCAAAGAGTTCACATTCTGTGCCGCCTCCTTTTCCGCCTGCTCACACCATTTCTGCATTTCGCGGAGCTCGAAATTGAGCTCCGGCTCCGTGAGAGCGCTGGAAAGAGCCTTGGACACTGCCGCACTTTCGGCTTGACTGATTTTTCGGAATCGATCCTCGATACCGTATACCGTTTGCCGCAAATTTTGGGATTTCGGCGAATCGTCTTGCATACGGGGGACCAGTTGGGACAGCTTCTTTACCAGGTCGATAACTGGACCCTCGGCACTGGATACCCGTTTTCTGAGCTCGCCGAGCACACCTGGCGCCGATTTTCGATCCATTTGAGCAATTTGATCCGATTCGTATCGTTCGGCCTCGTCGACGAGGGAGTCGGCGGTGTGGGTTAACTGAAAATTGGTTTTTTTTGTTTTTTGGGTGAAACGTTATGAAATTTATGACAAATAGTTGAATTCAGGGGTTACTAGTTTTAAAATGAGCCTAAACATGGCTAGGATTGCTCTAATTTTGAAAATTTCCAATTTGTCCCTTAAAGGTGGCCTAGAAACCCAAATTTTTAGAAAACTAGGTCATGGGGTATACCATATTGTTAGGGTTGTTCCATAGTATTCATATCTTTTTTCGAATTCCAAAAATATCAATTTTGAAGCTAGTTACAAGCATTTTGGACCACGCTGGCCTAGGTTTGGATTTCTAGGCCACCAAACTTCAAATGCTCACAACTTGGCTCAAATTTGACATTTTCCGTATTTAAAAACAGATTTAGACACTGTAAAACATGTTTGACAAAATGATATACATCATGACCTAGTTTTCCAAAAATTTGGGATTCTAGGCCACCAAACTTTAGAAGCTAGAATTGATAGAAAGCCGGCCATGATTATACTCATTTTGAACCTCTTTTCATATTATAAATGATAAACTTTTCAGATTCTAATTTTATCGAATTTCGACAAAGTTATGGCCGTTAGAAGTTGGTGGCCTAGAAAACCCGGATTCCTAGGCCACGGGCCACTTTTCAATAAAGTATGTCATGATTATACTCATTTGGAAGCTCGTAACGCGGAAAATTTAAAAATAAAAAATTCAAAAAATTTGGTTGATGCTGAGCAATGTTATGACCATTTGAAGCCGGTGGTCGAGGAATTTCTAGGCCACCAATCAAGCAAAAGCGACCATAGTCGTGTTGGTGCTCATTTTGAAGCTCTTGCTGAGCCAAATTCAAAATTTGAAATTTCAGAAAAATTTGGTTAATGCTGAGCAATGTTAAAGGCTTCTCAAAGGCTTGAGTGCATCTAAAAAACCTAAAAATCCACCTAATTTCGCTATTTATGGGTCAATTTGAAATTTAAAAGAGCATATAGATTTGAAAAGTGCTCCTAGGTGGCAAGTGTCACTCAATAGCCACACATACACTCAAAAATACACAAGAAAATAAGTGTAAGTATCTGATAAAAGGGGAGGGGAGGGGGGTAAGAGTGTCCCTGAGGAATGTCTCCGTGGACAAAATATTACTACACAAAGTGGGTCCAAACCTCTTGCATCGCATTCCATTCCTCGTTAAACTTTGGTAGTTTGTCTTTTCGTTGAAGTGCCATTTGACGAAGCATCTGGAAATGATTATATAGAGCAAATGTGGGAAAATCTTCGAGAATAGTGTTGGTTTTGAAGTCTTTAGACTATTTTTAATCAATTTTCCAGGCAAAAATTACTCAAAAACCACTTTTTTAGGGTCAAATTCATCAATTCTAGCCAAAGTTATGTCTATTTGAAGTTGGTGGCCAACAAACCCAAATTTTTGGAATATGGGTGGTTTTGAGGGTAAATCTATAGGAAATGTTAGTTTTAGAGTTTTTAGACTATTTTCAATCGATTTTCCAGGCAAAAATACCCTTAAAACCAACTTTTAAGTGTCAAATTCATCAATTCTAGCCAAAGTTATGTCCATTTGAAGTTGGTGGCCTAGAAACCCAAATTTTTGGAATATGGGTGATTTTGAGTGAAAAATCTATAAAAGAGTTCAATTTTAGAGTTTTGAGACTATTTTCAATCGATTTTTCGTTAAAAAATACCCCCAAAACCCTTTTTGGGGGTCAAATTCGTCAAATCTAGCCAAAGTTATGGCTATTTAAAATTGATGGCCTAGAAATCCAAATTTTTCTGGAATATGGGTAGTTTTAAGGGTAAATCTACACGAAAATTTAGTTTTAGAGCTTCGAAACTATTTTCAATCAATTTTTCATGTATGAAAACACTTAAAACCCTTTTTTTAGGGCCAAATTCGTCAATTCCAGCCAAAGTTATGGCCATTTGAAAATGGTAGCCTAGAAACCCAAATTTTCAGAAAACTAGGTCATGAAATATTTCATTTTGTTAGGCTTGTTTTATAGTGTTCATATCAGTTTTTAGATTTGAAAAATCTTGAATTTTATGCTAGTTATGAGTGTTTAAAGTTTGAACCAAGATGACCTAGTTTTGGTTTTCTAGGCCACCAAACTTCAAATGCTCATAACTTGGCTCAAATTTGACATTTTCCGAATTTAAAAACTGATTTATACACTATGAAGCAAGTTAAACAAAATGATATACAGCATGGCCTAGTTTTCTAGAAATTTGGGTTTCTAGGCCACCAAACTTCAAATGCTCATAACATGGCTCAAAATCAACATTTTCAAGATCTGACAACTGATTTAGACACCATGAAACATGCCTGACAATTTGATTAAAAAATCAATTTTCCAAAAAATTGAAACTACCGTAATCCTCTCCCTGGCATTCTCCGCTTGCAGCATATTAATAGTCATTTCGTTTTTGGCCAAAGTGCGTTCACAGGATTCTAGACGGGCCAGGGTATTCTGAAAAAAAAAACATCGATTTTTGGAATTTTCCGGGTTACTGTACGCACCTTTAGTTCATTCTCCGCGTTATCCAAATAGTCGAATGGGAATTCTTCGAAATTCGTGTGCGCGTCTTCGATCGAGTCCAAAACTTCAAACATCGATGCGATTTCGGTATCAGAATCCAGGATCGGAGGAGAGAATTTGGAGTCCTAGAATATTGAAAATAGAAAAGTCGAAATCAGCGAAGAATTAGCTTTGAAGTGAGCCTAAATATGGCCTAGTTTGGAACATTTTGAATTTTTGGAAGTTTTTAAACTACCGTAACTCGGCCAACTTTTGAGCAACTTGAAAAAGTTGTCTAGTTTTGGATTCCTCATATTTAGCGCTTAAAAATGAGTATAAACACGACCTACTTAGCTCAATTTTGAAATTTGACCTTAAAGGCGCATGGACCCTCGAAAAATGGTCAATTTTCAAAATTTGCTAACCTAGTCGTGTTTAGGCTTATTTTGAAGCTCTAAACATGGAAAATTTAGTTCTGTTGAAATTTTTGAGTTTTCTCAAAAACTGACTGAGATACTGTAGTTATGGTAAAACTACCGAAAAACCAAAATTCTTCAAAGTAGGTCGTGATTATAATCATTTTAAAGCTGGCAACAAGACAAATTCAAAACTGCAAAAAATTTCAGGATTGCTCAAAAATTGAGTGAGATACGGTAGTTTCAACCAAAACCGGTTGTGTTTAGGCTCATTTTGAAGATCACAAGTTCAAATTTTTGGGGCCAAAAAACTTACCAATTCATCACCAGAAGAAATATTAGCAGTTTCTTCATAGACATCCACAGGAACCTCTCGGACCGTTCTTTCAATGGATTCCTGAGCGGGGCGGCCTTGAAGGATTTCAGAAGTTGAGACTTCAGCGATAGTCTCTTCAGGGGGCGGAGCCTGTTCAGTGGGCGTGGCTAAAGTGGGCGGAGCTTGTTGCTCAATAACCTTCTCCGAGTCATCTGGCAGAATAATAGTCCGTTTTTCATCGTCTACTAGCATTTTCACTTCCAATTGTGGTGTTCCAGCCTTCTGACCTACAGTAACCGCCTCGGAAATGACACTATCGTCTTCAGTGGCGGTACCGTATGCCTCCATAGCCAGCTGAAGACTCGAACGACTTGGTGACGATTTTTCAGGCGTTTCAGGCCCCATTTTAGGCTTCTCAGGCCCTTCAGGCTTGGAAGGTCTCTTCTCTGTATTGGCCAATCGGGCTTCTAGGCTTTCTATCCGTGCTCGAAGCTTGTCGAGCGTAGTGTCGTGGAGTTGGGGACCTAAAATATGTAATTTTTCATCTGAATTTTTTTGGAGATTACTGTACCTTTTCCCGGCAATGCACAATGAATCGCTGTCGCTCGTGACGTCAGAGAGGTGATATGAGAGTCCCTCTCGGCTAGTTCCTTTCTTGTAGACTGAGCAATGTCCACATCATCGAGGTTACGGTCGGTGAAGACGTCAAGGACAAGGAGAAATGAGTCGATGTCCTGGAAATTAGAATTTGGCGCGTTTAAAATGAGCCTAAACACAACCTAGGTTGCTCGGTTATGAATTTCGGTCAAATTTAAAACTACAGTAACCCGGCCAGTTTTTGTACAAGCTCAAAAATTTTGACAGATATCAATTTGTGGCATGGTGAGCTTTAAAATAAGCCTAAACAAGACCTATATTTCTCAAGTTTGAATTTTGACCCTTAAAAACGCATGGACCCTCGAAAAATTGAAATTTTCAAAAATAGGTCATGATTATACTCATTTTGAAGCTCGCGTTAAGGGAAATTCAAAAATTTAAATTTTAAAAAGTTTGGAGTAGGTTGAGCAAAGTTACGGTAGTTTGAAAAATTTCGCAAAAAAAAATCTTTGGAGTTTTTTGAAAAAAAAAACATATTTTCAAAGTGGTCATGTTTAGGCTCATTTTGAAGCTCTTAAACTCAAAATTGAAGAAAAAACGGTTTTAAATAGTTTGGTGTGAAGATACAAGATCTGGGGGGATTTCAAAAAATTGATTCCCAAAAAATTGGTTTTTTGGAATTAATTTTTATGGAACCCAAATTTTTCCTATTAGAATTTCCTTAAAGTGGATCATGTTTAGGCTCATTTTGAAGCTCTGAATCTTAAAAATTTGAAAATCATTGATTTGGAAAATTACGGTAAAATTCCAGAAAGTTATCGAGCATAAAAAAGTGAGTTTCAAAAACATAATATTTATTGAAACATTTTTTTAAAATCAAAATTTTTCCCACCCAAATTTTTTAGAAAAAGGTCATGCTTAGGCTCATTTTAAAGGTCTAAATCTTAAAAAAATCGAAATTTAACAATTATTGATCTGAGAGCGAAATTCAAGAAAGTTATCAGGCTTAGAAGAGGTTAAGTCCCAAAAGTTGTTTTTTTTTTGAATTTTTTTTTTGGAATCAAATTTTTCCTACCCAAATTTTTTTGATATAAGGCATGTTTAGGCTTATTTTGAAGCTCTAATTTTGTTCTTTCCAACAAATTTAATTTTTAAAAGTTTGAACTAAAAAATAGGTCCCAAAAAGCGCAAATAAAGTTGCTCACCTTCTTCAACTGCTCATGCTGCTCCAAAAGTGGCGCCACCTTGTCTCGATGCTTATCCAAATCCCCTTCAACCATCTCAATCTTGCTCGCCAGCTCATCCAACTTCTCAATCGCCGCGTGCGTCTGCAATTCCAGCCTTCCAACCTGAGCAATTTTCCGTCCCTCCTCAATCAAGTCATCCAGAGGAGGCCTGTAGTCATCCAAGTATAGATCCAAATCCTCCACACGCTTCTGATACTGTGTTACTGTAGCAACAGGTGACGTTTCGAAATTCAAGTGGGTTTCTAGATCCTTCAACAGATAGTACAGCTCATCGACTCGTTTGTCAAAACTGGAATTTTCAGGTGAGCTGAGTTCCTGGTCCTTGAGCTCTAGCTGAGGTTCCTTTTCTCTGGTTTCCAGAGATTTCTCCTCCAAATCCTTCCATTTCTTGTTCAATCCTTCTAGAACATCTGATGACGTGGCGGCTAGCCGGGGATTCTTGGCTGCCAATTTTCTGGTACGCGAGCTTAGCCTATCCCGATCCGCTCGCAAAAATCGAAGCCTCTCTGCGATTGCCTTGGGTTCGTGGCTAGAAATTTCTCGAAGCTCTTTTTCAAGGTTCTGATGGAGCTCGTCGATTTCCAGCAGTGCCGATTCGTCGTCCTCGGACATTTCTTGAATTGTGCGCACCCAGGAATTCAGGCGATTTTTTAGAGCGTCAGCTCGAAGGCGTTTCAGGGAGAGCACGTTTTCCGGGATCTTGATGGCGCGTTCGCTGAAAATAGGCAATTTTAAAAATGAGAAATTGTATTTTTTTGGAATTTGAGAGCTTCAAAATAAACCTAAACACGGCTATGTTTGTTGGATTTTGAACATTGAGCATCGACCTTTGGTCGCAATTTGGTCAAATTACCGTATCGCGGTCAGCACATAAGAAAACTCAAAAACTTTACCGGTACTAGATTTACCAAGAGAGCTTCGAAATGAGCCTAAACACGACTAGTTTTGCTGAACTTCGAATTTCGGCTTTAAAGGCGCATGTCCCCTCTAAAATCTAGGAAAAACTGAAATTGGGTAACCCTGGTTGTCTTTATGCTCATATTGATGCGCAAAACATGAAAAGTCTAAAACTGAGAGAATTTTTGGAATTGCTTTAAAACTGACTGAGTAACGGTACTCACAAGATTTTGTCATTGTTTGCAAAAGTACCGTATCTCGAGTATTTTTAGGCCAAGCCAAGTGAAACTTACAATTTGGAGTTTTTCATGATGAGAGCTTTAGAATGAGCCTAAACACGACTAGGTTTGCTCGATTTCGAGTTTTCCCATTTTTTCGGGGGTCCATGCGCCTTTAAGGTCAAATTTCAAAGTTGAGCGAATCTGGTCGTGTTTAGGCTCATTTTGAAGCTCTAAACCTGGGTAGTGTGAAACATTTCAAAAAGTTTGTATAAAAATTTGGCGAGCTACGGTGGTAACAAATTTCAGACCGGTTTTTACATGGTCCATGCGCATTTAAGGTCAAAAATCAGACTTCAACAAACTAAGTCGTGGTTAGGCTTATTTTGAAGCTCTAAACGTGGGCAAATTGATTATTTTGGTTTAGAGAAGTTAGGACAAAATAGAGCTAGGTTACGGTAGTCTTGATGTTTGCCCCAAAACGAAATGCGTTGTGTTTAGGCTCATTTTGAAGCCGAAAAACCAAAAGACCCACTTCAACTGCCTCTGCAAATGTGCCGCATTATTCATCGCCGCCTCATTTCGATTCCACTCGCTTATCAGCTCCTCCACAATCTCCGCCTCCTCTCCAGGCCTATCACTAGCTGCATATCGATCAAGGCGTTGCTCCATTTCATCCAAGAATCTCTCAATTTCATCAGTTTCCATAAGCAATCTCTGATACATCTCAACACAGTCCTCAAGTCGTTCAATACACGTCGAACTACGGTCATACAGCTCTTTGGATTTCGTTTTGGCATACTGTAGTTTTTGAAGGGTCTCTCTGGAAGCTTCCTCATCTAGAACATGATCCTTAACTAGTTGCTCTCGATTCTCCGACAAATCCTTCCACTTCTCTTGTGCTCCGTCGAGCATCCGGACCAGAGCTCGAACTTCCATCAGGGCTCCACCACATTCTGCTCCATCGATTCCTGTGGTATCATCTAGACCCATTTCTACGTTTGATAAGGTTATGAGCACTTTTTCCAGCTTCTCCTCGAAGCCTTTGGGACGTTTAAACTCGTTGAATTTTCGACAGAGCTCTGTCATGGTTTCCTGAAAATCAATTTTTTGAATTTTCCAGGTTCAGTGCTTCAAAATGAACCTAAACACGACCAAATTTGAGCTGTTCTGAAGTTCAAAATAAGCCAAAACATAACCTGCTTCCTTAATTTTGCTCATTTCCCAAAAATTGGATCTACCATAACCTTGCTCATTTTTGTCCTAATTTATTGCTTTTTACATTTTCGAGTCAAGCACGATTAGAGCTTCAAAACGAGCCTAAACACGACCTATTTTGATCAATTTCAATTTTTTTAAGGTCATGCGCCTTTAAGGTCAAATTTCAAAATTTTTCTTTTCAAATTTTTCAAAGGCAAATCTAGTCGTGTTTATGCTCATTTTAGAGCTCTCAACGTGCTAAACACATTTTGAGTAAAAATTTTGAGGTTGCTCGTAGACTGACCGTGATACGGTAGTTTGAATTTTTCGATATTCCCAAAAAATCACATTTTTTGAAACTAGACCTTGTTTATACTCATTTCGAAGCTCTTTTCAAGCCAAATTCAAATTTTCAGTCAAATTTCCAAAATTCCAACTCACATTCGCATGGTTCAACTGTTCCCGCATCCGCACAGCATCCTCCTTCTCCATCGCTAGCGAATTCATCTCCTTCAATTTTTGGGTCCAATCTTCAAATTCGCGGGAGAGTTTCTGAAACGAAAAATTTGGCTGAAAATAAGTCTGAAAATCAATCGGCACGCAAAAAATCATGCTAGGAAAGTAAAATTTTCAAAAATTTTGAAAAAATTTTTTTCTGAAAATTTCAGATTTTTCAAAAAAATTCAGACCACACAATTCTCATGCTCAGGCCTACCGGTATCAACTCTGCCTCGTTTCCAAGATCTTCCTGAATTTTTATATATTTTTTGGAAAAAAAAAGTTTTTTGAAATTTCTGAAAATTTCAGAATTCGAGACAACTTACATGATACTCGTGCGGGATGTCGAATGCTGAAATGTCCGCCGATTTCCTAGCTTGCAGTAGGAAGCCGATTCTGGCACTCCAGTTCTGAAATTTCAGATTTTAGGGGGTTTTTTTCGAAAAAAAAAATTTTTTTTGGAATTTTTGAAAATTTTAAATTTTCAAACTACCGTATCTCTACCAAATTAGGAACAAGATCAAAAATGTTTGCATTTTTGAATTTGGCTTGTTGTCAGCTTCAAAATGAGTATAATCATGACCTATTTTGAAAAGTTTTAAAATTTGACTTTAAAGGCGCATGGACCCTCGAAAAATCAAAATCGAGCAAAATGGGTCGTGTTTGTGCTCATTTTTAAGCTCACAACAAGACAAACACAAATCTTGTAATTATTTTAAAATTGTTCGAAAACTAACAGAGATACGGTAGTTTGAACTTTTTGAATTTCAGAAATGTTGGAACTACCGCACCTCTGCCAATTTTTGAGCAAAATCAAATTTTTTTTTGCATTTTTGAATTTGGCTTGTTGTCAACTTCAAAATGAGTATAATCATGACCTACTTTGAAAAATTTTGAAATTTGATTTTAAAGGCGCATGGACCCTCGAAAAATCAAAATCGAGCAAAATGGGTCGTGTTTATACTTATTTTTAAGCTCACGACAAGACAAACACAAATCTTGTAGTTATTTTAAGATTGTTCGAAAACTAATAGAGATACGGTAGTTTTGAAAACTCCAAAAGACTTACCTGGAACAGCATAATTGCTTCTCAAAATCTTCACATTCCGAGACGGTCCGTGATAAAACCGCTAGTGTCTCATTTGCTTTCTGAGCAATTGCATCCTTTGCTTCCGTCAATTTTGTCAGCTTTCCACGCGAATCCTCATCCATTGGTAGGGATCCAATTTCGCCGAAAAGGCTCGAAATATTGTCCAGGGAACTTTCCAGGTGCTGAAAATTTAGAAATAAGTTAGAAATATGAATTTGGCTCATTGAGAACTTCAAAATGAGTATAAACATGACACACTTTACTCGATTTTGATTTTTCGAGGGTCCATGCGCCTTTAAAGTCAAATTTCAAAACTTTCCTGGGTCATGATTATACTCATTTTGAAGCTGACAGCAAGACAAATTTAAAAATGCAAAAATTTTCAATCCATCTCTAAGATTGACAGAGATACGGTAGTTTGAAAAATCCAAAGTCTCAAAAAAAAATTCAAACTACCGTATCTCGGCCGGTTTTTGAGCATTCTGAAAAATTTGTCGAGAGATTTGTTTGGCACGTCAAGCGTTTTAGAATGAGTATAAACACGACTAGGATTGCTCATTTTTGGAAATTGACCTTTTTTCGAGGGTCCATGCGCCTTTAAAGACAAATTTCAAAACTTTTCAATGTGGGTTATGACTAGATTCATTTTGAAGCTGACAACAAGACAAATTCAAAAATGCAAAAATTTTCAATCCATCTCTAAGATTGACAGAGATACGGTAGTTTGAAAAATCCAAAGTCTTAAAAAAAAAATTCAAACTACCGTATCTCGGCCGGTTTTTGAGCATTTTGAAAAAATTTATAAGCATTTTGTTTAGCACGTCAAGTGCTTCAAAATAAGTATAAACACGTCTAGGATTGCTCATTTTTTGAAAACTGACTATTTTTTGAGGGTCCATGCGCCTTTAAAGTCAAATTCCAAAATTGTTCAAAGTAGTTCATGATTATACTCATTTTGAAGCTGACAACAAGACAGATTCAAAATTGCAAAATTTTTTGATCTTGCTCTAAATTTGGCAGAGATACGGTAGTTTGGAAATTTCCAACAAAAAAACACCCCCCCCCCCCCTTAATTTTTTCAAACTATGTCGTGTTTATACTCATTTTGAAGCTGTTGTCCTCCAAAATTTGAATATTTAAATTTCCCGCCTAAATCACTCACATCCAAACTCTCTGCGGCAGTTTCAGCGTCTAGGGATTCTTGTTTCTTCTCGATGGCCGATTTAATCTCGTTGAGGGCTTCCTCCCCTTCGCGGAGACGTTCTGAAATGTGAAGGGTGTGAGGTACAGTACTCTAAATAGACTGAAAAATTGAAAGCGAGCAATTCCTAGGAAAAATGTCCCAAGTATTTAGGGAAGTATAGGGAAAATGTTTGGCGGTGTGGGGGGGGGGGGAGATGGGCAAATATTGACAGATTTTCTAAGAGAGAGCCGCGAGGATTTTTCTGCGTCTCTTGGGTACTGTAGGCTATTTTCGATACGGTGAAAAAATTTGGGATGAAAACGGAAGAAAGAACAGGTGATTCCTCATCAAAATGATCAATTTGACCACAATTTCAGATTTTTGGAGGCGTCCTACGATTCTGAATTTTGGCCAGAATTTTTTGAAACTTATATTTTTGAATTTCTTACATTGAGGGCTTCAAAATGAGCCTAAACACGACCACATTCCCACAATTTTGAATTTTTACCTTAAAGGCGCATGGACCCTGGCGAAAAAAGGCAACATTTGAAATTGAGTAAACCTAGTTGTGTTTAGGCTCATTTTGAAGCTCAAAGAGCCATAAATTCAAAAATTCAAAAAAAAAATTTAGGTCCTGCAAAAATGACAAAGATACGGTAGTCCCATCTTGCCCAAAAATCGAACTAAACAGAATATGGTCATGTTTAGGCTCATTTCGAAGCTCTTCGAAAGTTAAATGCAACAATTTAAATTCAAAAAAACTTGGCTCAAAACTCATCGAGTTACGGTACTTTTCATATTTCCAAAAAACCCAAAAAAAAGCACCCACTCTGAATAAATGCATCCTGATCCTTCCTGGCTTTTCTCAGGTTGTCTTCCAAGTCCACTTCCAGCTGATTCCATCGTTTCGCTAGTTTCTCAATGGAATCTTTGGTCTTAATAACGACTTCTTGGGAAATCCCCTCATCGTCCATGCTCAACATTTTCTCCGCCGTTCTCTCGGCTTCTTTTCTCAACGATGAGCAATTGGCTAGTTTTCTAGACTCTTGTTCAAGACCGCGGACCAGATCTGCGATTTCTAGGTCCGCCGCTTGTAGACGATCCAGGGCACGCTCGATTTCCTAAAAAAATAATTTCATTTTATTCGATTTTTTGAGATTTCTGTGGATTTTCGTGAAAATCCCTTTCGTTAAATCTGTTCGCCTTGAAAAATTTGAAATTTTGATACCCATATTGCCCAGGTTCCAGAAAAACTGATATTCTGAAGCCTGACGTCTTCTGAATTCAGAATTTCTACTTTTTTTGGAAATGGGGCAATATGGACATCAAAACAACGGAAAATTCAGGCCTAACAACTTTGACGTCACTAGTTTTTTTGAAATCTGCAGATTCTGAATTCTGACGTCTTCTGAATCCAGAATTCCAGATCTTCAAAAAACCAGGCAATATGGGTGTCAAAATTTTCCAAATTTTAAATCCATTGATTTTAACGTCATCATTTCCCTCAATTTCTCACCTCCACCGTCTCCTCGGCGATTTGAAATCTGCTACGCGCCGCTACAGTAACCCGTCGCTTCTCTTCCATTTCTGCCTTCCGTGTCTCCGCTTTTTCGACAGTTTCATTGCTCATATTCGAGCTTCTGGCTTTTTCGACAGCTTTTTGGGCTCTAAGCAAATCTTGTTCAATTGAGATGACGTCACCGACTGGGCTCCATGGACCATCGAGCTCTTCCAAAATCGATGATTCGGAAATTGGGGATTGCGGAGTCTGAAAGTCAAAATTATAGATTTTTGATGTCAGAATTGAGTTCAGCGCCTAAAATAACCCCTGACCACCAACTTTCAGCGAGTTTCAGGCAAGTGTCGTAGGGTATGGTGTTTGGTCTGCAAACACCAAAAAAATCTCGAATTCGCTCAAAATTGACGTCACGAGCTAAAAAAGGACGCTGATTTCAAAATTAGCAAAAATTCCGCGAAATTTTCACTTTCGGTGTTTGCGTACGAAACACCACATCTTACGACACTTGGTCTAAATTGGCTCAAAAATAGTGTTCCGGGGTAGTTTTCGGCGGGACATTCAAATTCTTCACTTACATTTTGCTCAGCTTGCTCCACAAACTGCACATGTCGCTCGACTTCTGGCTCCTCAACTTTTTCTGGCGACTTTCTAGATTTTTCCTCAATTTTCAGAGCTGCCAATCGTTTTCCAGCGATTTCCAGACCCTTTTTCAGAATTGCTTTTTTCAAAAGGTCCTTCTCCACAAAACCAACGTTCTTCTCTTGAACTTGAAGTTGTTGCTCAATTTTGTCGATTCTGGAGAGTCGTTCGGACACGGGAAGTTGCGATAGCTCGTTGATAACTCTGCAAAAATCGATTTTTCTCTGATTTAGGAGCCAGATTTATGTAAAATAAATTCTATTTTCGAACTTCCCGGGGTTTTTCACCCCAGGATGCTAATTTTAAGCACATTTGGGAGCAAGTGTCGTAAGATGTGGTGTTTG